AATGCACTCTCAATCCAAAACACTTTTCAGACACAAAATTCCCCAACCATCTAAATGTGTCTTTCTGGGGGAACAAAGACAAATATAATGTAATGGTAATCTTGTAAGGGAGGACAGACACTAATGATAAGAGCTGTGCACATAGTTGGTATTTCTAAGTTTCCTGAAGTCTGGTTATTCTAATACAATCAAAATCCACCTCAACTTTAATAGCTCTTGACCAGGTCTTTCAAATAATCTGAAAAGCAGAAAAAATTCAGCACTTGGACAATTCTTAGGCTTCTTATTCTTCTACTGCTTCATGTAGCACATGATCATGTGGCTGCCTGGGAGGTGTGGCTACTATTGCTGCCCAGCATCAAAGATCATACCATATGGCACTAGGTCAGGCAAAGGTAAAAGTTTTCTATTGTATTTCTATTGTTTTTGTACCATCACCACTGTAAAATTGAAAAAGTGTAAGTTGAACATTGTAAGTTGGGGACCATCTACATATATAAAACACCAGACCTCTGAGTCAGAGCAATGGACAGTTTATTTCTTACAGTAAACATGGCAACCAGAATATCGAGTTGAGGTGGTTTCTTACACCCCTCTTCCCAAAGGGATGTGATATGGATTGCATGCTGCCTAGCTACACAATGGGTATCAGTGGAGAGGGATCAGAAATTAAGAGACTTTGAAATTTTAATAGAACCACCCATTCTTTCCCGCAGAGGAAAATTACTCATTATCCTGCAGTGGAAGAAAGTAACTCTGGAATACGAAGGTTTGAGATGTAGGCTGCTATGTTGGCCATGCTCCATCTTCTGCTTCCTTTTCAATTGTCCTTCAAAAGCTAGCCTGTGCCCTCTGCTGAGAAAGCCTGGATATGCAGGAACACATGGGATGCAAGGACAGTTGTGTCCCCAAAATGGACAGAGTGAAGTCATGCAGCAAGAGCATCCCATGAGATTAGTGAGGTTAAAGAGGTAACAGAGACTTTGGTTGGGGCCATGAAGACCCCAAGCAGCAAGATGACATATATTCTGAGCGAAAAGGAAACTAAACAAGGGTTCTGGGCAGAAAAGCGTGTTTCTGTTTTAGTAGTTAGATGTTTGATCCATTTTGATTTAGATTGTTTGTTTTAAGTTAGATGTTTGATCCATTTTGATTTTAGTTTAGTATATGGTGAGACATATGGGTCTAGCTTCAGTCTTCTGAATTTGTTTCCTGGCACCATTTATTAAAGAGGCTGTCTTTCCTCTAATGTATGTTTTTGGCCACTTTGTCAAAGATGAGGTTGCTGTATGTGCCTGGGGTTGTTTCTGTATCCTCTATTCTGTTGCCCTATTCCCATGTCTGTTTTTGTGCCAGGATAGCATGTTTCTCTTTGCAGAATCACTTTTTCCAAAATGGGTAACTTAGAATTGCAAACAGTTCATTCAGCTTAGACTTACTCCCTCAAAAATCTATTGCCTATAGCCCCACAGGACTAGTTTTTGGCCTCTAGAACAGACCCTGAGAGACAGCTCTAAATTGGCATTTGTATTCCTTCCTGGAGCAGGGAGTGTTCCTCCTCTTGGTGTCATAGGACAGAATAATATGTCCCTCCAGGACACTTGCTTTCCTTATGCTGGTCTCCAGAGACAATGAATTGAACATTTCTGGCTTTGAAGTTTGTTTACATTCTAGATGACACCTTGACCCTCCCGAACTCCAGGCAGTCCTCGGCCTCCTTCCTCCCTCTCTCCACATGGCAGTCCCCAACCCCATATTTCCTCTGAAAGTATGGACTCAGAAATGTTGGCTTCCTGTTTCCTATGACTCTAAAGAACTCCAAGGTTTATCTGTTATCCGGGTTTCTGTTAGTTGAGCCCCTTCTTGTGTGGAGACTTCACACAACTTGATAAACAAGTCACTGCAAGCTAGTGTTGTGACCAAGGAAGGAAAGTTTCATCCTCCCTTTACCACCACCCAACAAGCCTAGAGCTGAATACGATCAGATGTTCATGGAGCACAACTCAAGGCTCTTCCAAAAACACTTGATTTGCTCTCTTTCACTGAATTCTCATAATAACTGTTGTGAGGTATGTGTATCTGTTTGGGCAAGTGCCTGGTAGAAGCCTCAGTGGTCTGTGTACATCATGGACATAAATTAGATTTCCAGTTGTCTAGGAAAGGCACTGTGTCAGGAGGGATGGCTGGGAGTTTGCCAGGATGAACCTGACATTGTCAGATAGACACTGACCTGTTGGGAAGGTTATCACATTAGGAGGAAAAAGCACAACAGGGTCAAGGTTTTTGGAGCACCATTCGTAAATCTACTGTTGTCTTTCTGCCAACCTAGAGGACTGTCTGGTTTGAAGCTGTCTTTCTGGATGGGGGACTATTTGTCTTTCTAACTGGTGGTCCATCTGGCTGTCCAACTGGAGAACTTCCTGGCTTATTGGTTGTTTATCTGAGGGTCTGGTTGTCTATTTTGTTTCTGGCTGGTGGTGTGTGCATGGCTGTCCCTCGAGGGGTGTAAAGGCTTTTAAGCTAGGAGCCACTATTATAGAAGACATTATTGAAGACTCTTGCAATGGATCTTGATCATTTGTGAGACAACACAATGCAAGCTGACAAGAACAGAAGAAAGAAACAAGACTTAGAGAGAAAGCTGGTCTTGGGCTGATCTAAGCTGCTCTGGGTAGCAAAGACAAAAGGGACCAAGAGCATCCAGTGTTTATTCATTACCAGTGTAGGAAGGAGAGGAGCAGGTTAGGGTTTGGGACACCTGATGATAGTATTGCAGGCAGGACTGAAAAAGGGAGGCACTAGCATATCTCTGTTGAAGAGAATAAATGGGTAATTCAGAAGAAAAGAATTTATTTGGAGTCAAGCTGATCTTGGCTGGAAATCTGCGCAGCAAGGCCCTGCTACTTCACGGACTAGGACTTAGTCTTCATAGCAGCCATTAGCAGAGAAGCTACACTTGCCCAACTCTGTTATCTGACATGCCCATTGGAGTCATTAAAAGCTTTGATTAGACCCCTAATATAAAACAGCCAAATTATGGAGGGGCAAGAAACTTGTGCCACTAATAGCCTATTAATACTGGGCAGAGATGTCTGCTACAACTATGCCTGGGGTCCATTTCCCAGTGAGTTCCATCTTAGTGGCTCAGCAGTCTGTTTGGCTAGTGATTGGTTTGCCTGTTATTCTGAGGTTTGGTCCATCTGTCGTCAGGCTAGAGATCTGTATAGCTGGCTCCAGATACGTCTGCCAAGTGGCAGTCTGTGTATGTCTGTCCAGCCAGGGTGTCTGTGTGGGCAGCTAGGGATCAGGTGGTCTTTCTGCATAGCTGGGGTCTATCTAGATATAGTCTGCTTTGTTGAAGGTCAATCTGTCTAAAGAGCTGGAGATATATATCTATTCATTTGGGAGGATTTCCAGGGGTCATTTGACCAGCTGGAGTCTATCTATCTGGCTGGGGTTTGTTTAGTTGGGGTGGGTGGTTTATCTGTCCATGTAGGTTGAGTTATCTGTCTCTGGCTGAGGGCAGTAAGTCTCCTGTCTGTGTAGGGGCCCACAGATCAAATGGGAAACCCATCTATCTGAGGGGCTTGAAATTTATCTACCTGCTAGTAGTGTGTCTGTCTGCCTAAAGGATCTATCCAACTGAAATGTCTGCCAAGTTGGGAGATGGTCTGGAAAGTGAAGGTTATGTCTAACTTGGGATGCTTCTCTGAGTGTCTGACTGCCTTTGTGGCCAGTTGACTGGTTGGTGGTTCACCCAGCTCTCTGTTCAGAAGCTACACTACTGTGCCTGCCAAAATGGAGGTATTACATTGGAGGGGATTGTCTGCTTGTCTGGGGATCTGTCTGTCTGTCTGGGAGTCTGGCAGGCTAGCTGGTATGTTTATGTGGCCAGGGTTGTTTGTCTGGCGATGACCCCCTGGATGGGGGTCCATCTGGTAAGTTAGAAGGTTGGTTGGCTGGAAGATCCGTCAGTCTGTCAGTCTGTCCATGTGGGATCTGTTTATGACTGTCTAGAATCTTGTCAAGCTAAGAGTCTATCTGCATGTCTAGCTGTCAGAGGGGTCTGTGTTTTGGGGCCATGTTTGTTTGGTGGTCTGAGTGGGACAGGTCTGTCAGGCTGTTTGTGTTGGTCTGTCTCTCTAGCTGGGGTCCCTATGTCTAGCTATGGACTTTATCCCACTGAAGATCTGGCTGTTTAAGGGTCTGGCTCTGTGTGTCCATGCTGGTGATCCATCTGTTCTTTTGCCTATCTGGGGTTTTTTTTTAATCCCACCTGTGTAGAGGCAGTCTGGTTGGCTGTGAGTAGGCCTGGTGTAGATCTGTCTGGATGGCTTGAGGTCTACCCACCTTTCTGAGTCCATCTATCTCTGTGTGGATCATGAAGGGTCTGAGTAAGGGAGCTCAGAGCTCAGATACTGAAGAACTGTCCATTTTTGGTGAGGGGTGTAGTCTGCCCATTATAAATGTGGGGGATGGGCAATGCCCATTCCTATACCAGTCATATCTTCCATTTTTTTCCTCCAACCCTCAGTCCTTTTTTTGGGTAAATAATCACATACTGAGCATCTATATAGTCACCTTTTCAACTCAACAGTTACCATATTCTTTGGTCAAGGCTAGCGAGTAGCCCATGTAAGGACAAACTATTTCCTAGTTATTACTAATGTATAATTATGCCTCTTTCAATTTTTGATTTGTAACACAGTGATCACTGATCATTCTTATACAGATATTGCTGTGTACATATACAAATAAATTCATAGTATAACTCCTTGGAGTTGGTAACTACTAAGTCAAATACATATGCATTCTACAAGTTGATGTACATTGCTACATAGCTTACCAAGGTGATTACAATCAGAGGGCAGAAGAATCTTTGTTTCACATCACATTTGTCAGCACTGGATGTCACCAAACATTTTAAATAGTTTACAGTCTGAGAGACAAAAATTCTATCTTAGTCTGCTTGGGCCACAATAACAATCTACCATACACTGTGTAGTTTAAATATCAGAAATTTATTTTCTCATAATTCTGGTGCCTGAAAGGCCAAGATCATGGTGGCAGCATGTCAGGTTCTAGTGAGATCCTCTGATTGGCTTCTATTCAGTGCTTCCTGGAGGGATGTTCCCATGGTAGGAAAAGGAAGAGGCTGGAGGGAGAAGCATGCTTTCTGATGTCTGGTAGCTTTTCATAGAAGGGCATTAATCCCATCATGGGCCCTACCCTTATGAGCTCATTTAACTCTAATTGCCTCCCAAAGTCCCTACGTCCAAATACCATCACACTGGGGGTTAGAAATTCAACATATACATTTTGCAGCCCCCCACCCCCACCGCGCCCCATCTTGAGTGCAGTAATTACTGAGGCAAAGTCCTCACATTTCCCACCCTGAGAAACTTGTTTTGATCCAGGTCCAGCATTCTCATTTTGAACACATCAAATGGCAGAGCTATGACTGGTAGCAAAGCACCCTTTTGGAGCAAGAGGCAGGCACAGGCGCAGCACTCATACCCGGGTCCACTCTGCAGGGGGGTCTCGGGGTCCCTTCGGCCTTCCAATGCGCAGGTTGAAGCCTGGAAGAGGAAAGTTGCCATGGGGTCCCATGGTGAAGCTGAGGCTCAAAGAGGCAGGCACTTTGCAAGCCCTTCCGGTTTACTACAGCGACATCCATAGGTCTCTGACAGCCTATGCCTCAGCTCCTGCCCTAACTCCCAAACTCCTGGGGCTCACTGAAAACTGCAGAGCATCCCCATGCCCCAGGCTCTGACTTACCTAGCCCACCAGTCTGAGCTCCATCTGTCACATCCTCATAAGCATCAGGTCCAGCAGGGCTTTGGTCAGCAAGACCTGTGGACGGGCAACACACAGAGAGGGTCAACTCAGGCAGTCCTGGAGTCTCTCACTCCACCTCCCCTAAGGAAGCAAGCCTAGAGGAGGTGGTGCCCAGAGGGAGACTGCGCCATGGCCATGGGCAAGTGGAGACAACCACCTTTGGGGCACAGGGTAACTGGTTGAGCTAGCACCGCCAGAGGCGGAACTGGGGCCTAGATTTCTTACTGGTATCTTCTTCAGAGTGAAAAGACCTGCAAGAGCTTGGGGGCGTGGCCAGGGAGGCAGGCCAGCCTCCGGGGCGCGGTCAGGCCGAGGTAGGGGGCGCAGTCCCGGTGGGCGCAGGTACCCTCCGGGGCCCAGCAGGTTGGGGTAGCGAGGAAGATCAGGAATGCCCAGCTCCACGCCATCCACGAGCCTCTACTCACCGAGGGCAGGCGGCGCCCCCTGCGCATCCTCCGCATGCGCCCTGGGTAGCTGGGCGCGCGCTGTTACCTGGCTGTAGAGTGGCTTCTCCACTGTGCTGCGCTCCCAAGACCCTGGTGCTGCCCCTGCGGGGTCCCTACTCTTCTGTACCACAGCATACGTGTCTGCCATGGCGAGGGTCTGGGTCGCCGGCATGGAGATGCTCCTGCAGGCCGGGAACAGAGGAAGTGAAACCGCAACTCCGAGAAAGGGAAGGGTGGGGTGAGGGCTCTGCCCTAACCGCGGGTTTCCGTCTGGCCCCAGTGGCTGCCGGAAAGGAGGGAAGGGGCGGGCCGAGCTCGGAAAAGAAGAAGGGGTCTCTGGTAGAAGGATCTGGCTTCAGTGTCCAACTAGCACTCCACAGTTAGGTGGAGACAAGGGCCAGCCTGGCAGTTATGTGGGGCAGGGTACTGGTATTGATCTTTTTTGTGTAAATGTGAATAAAAGAATGAAGAAGTAGCATTTTAGGATAGGAGGGGGTCACTCTGGCTTCAAGGATGACAGGTGAAGCTGCCGCAGAAGGTCAGCTGTGTTTGTAGCACCAGACATGAGCCCTGACAGTGAACAGCATCAAGGAATAGTTGCCAAATTCATTACTGACTGGAATGGGCTGACCTGAATGTAGGGCTAACCTTAGAGACAGAGGCAGTGGGATCCTTGGGATCAAACAGTCCCATGTGGGAAGGTTCCTACAGCTTGTTCAAAGAAAGGGCCAACAATATTTGGTGAACTGAAGGACAGGAAGGGGACTTGTCCGGGAGTTTGAAAAACTGAAAGTGAGAGAGGTTGTTGCCGGTACCTGAGGACCCTGCCTGGTGGGCAGGGGATTGCAAGAAGGGCTGGAGAAGTCCAGAGGGAGAGGGCATCATCGTAGAGTGGGGCACAATTCTGGAGGAATACAGAAGGGCAGGGTCATGAGGCTTAGGAAGAGACTTGGCTAGGCTCCTCTTGGGGGTCACGGTAGCCTCTCAAGATGAGTGTAAGAGAGGCAGCCAGAAAAGACAGCCCAGAGGCAAGAGAAGTGGCTGGCACAGGGAGTCAGTGCCTGTTCTCAGGAGTGCAGGGCCTTAGGCTGTCAATGGTGGGCAGGAAGAGAGTGCAAAGTGGCCCTCTATACCTCCTTGAGGTTCTGGTACTGGGGGCTGGTTTTCTGGAGTGCCGAGTAGAACATCTGAGCCACTGTGTGGTGCAGGAATCTGTACTGTTCCTGTTGGAGTAAGGGGGTCATCAAGAAGGGAAGACAAGGGGAGGAAGGATGGAAGCTTGTGTCCTTGGGAATGAGGAGACCAAGGCCCACACCTCTGTCTGCACAACTGAAGGCCGCTGCTTCCGCATCTCAAGGACCACGTCAAAAAGGCTGAAGTCAGGTGGGATCCTCTGGGGCAGAGAGACCAGTGTGTAAATAGGACCACATGGGCATGGGGGCGCACTGCACAACACAGGTGCCCTCATCGTACCTGGGTCAGGAGCAACTGCCTCACATAATCAATTGTGCACAGGACACCTGTTCGCCCGCAGCCAGCACTGACAAGTGAAAATCAGAACAAGCTCAATCAGGGCCTGCTCATAACCCTTTTCTTTTCTTTTCTTTTTGACTGATTGGCCAATTGACTGACTGAATGATTGAGACAGGGTCTTGCTCTGTAGTTCAGGCTGGCCTCAAACTCATGATGATGCTCCCGCCTCAGCCTCCTGAGTGCTGGGATCACAGGTGTGTGCCACCACACCTGGCCTTCACAAACCCTTTTAAATGGGGGTATTTGGAGCTCAGGTGAGGGACCTCTTGATTTGCAGAATTCCCAGATTATAATTTCAAAGCAGAATTTTTAAAATCACATATTTGTTGTGCTTACTCCCCAACAGGCAATAAATGCTGATAATGTCATCCCATGCAGCATGACCAAGTATGGCCTCAGGGTTCTCAAAATAGGTTACTCAGATGGCCAAGACTGGCTGCAAGATTTGCTTCCCACTCCCACTACTTCTACCTCACCAGAGCCTCATAAAGTGTATTCCCTAACCTGCAATGGACACAGAGGGGTCTGGAGCTAGATCCTTGGAGGCGTCGGGCTTCCTCTATCATGGTGAGTACGGTGTCAGGATTGCCAGGGACCCCACGGTCTGGCCAGGACATGTACTGCAGGTGGTGTGCAGAACGGGATTCCTGAGACAGAGGACCAAAGAGAAGAGGGTGAAAAAGCATTTACCAAGTACCTGATACATGCAAAGTTTAAACATCTTCCATTTCAGTCTGCCAGAAATTGCTGGGGTAGTAGTTGAGTAATAGAGTACTTGCCTTGGATGTTCAAAGCCTTGGGTTTTATGCCTAGCACCACAAAGGAAAACATCCACCAGATAATAACTGAGGAAGTGAGTACTATTGTGAATGCCCATTTTACAGAGCAGAAAAGAGCTCTGCCCCTGCAAGAATCCCTTACCTCCTCCTCCCTTTTCAGTACCTTCTGGAAGGTGACTTTGAGGGTCCTGAGGATGATGTCTGCATTCAGTGGTGTCTCCTTTGTCTGGGTTTGTGGGCAAGAGGGAAGAGGAAGAACAAGAAAGAGAACAAATATGCCAAAAGACATACTTATAGAAGCAAACCATTCATTATTAAAAATATAACTAAGCATAAGTCATTTAGCCCAAACATCCTCCAAAGCTTTCATAAAGGAAACATTTGACAAAGAAAAAGGTATTATACAAACCTATACCAGCCCTCTTACAGTCAAAAAAAGAGACATCTTTTGTTCTAAAACAAAGTTTCATTATGTTTATTAAGTGCTAACTGCATGTGTGAAGAGAAATTTCCCCAAGTTCTTCTGAAATGCTAACAGAAATAAGGGTTTCAAGAACCCAACCAGGCATATTAATATTATAGAGATAACTGTGAATAAAGCCAAAATAAAAATGCTGAGGGCTGGGGATGTAGCTCAGTGGTAGAGCACTTGCTTAGAAAGAAGAATTCCATCCCAAGCACCAGAAAACAAACAACAAAACCAAACAAAAATGCTAAGGCAATGCCTTGTTCTGAGTTCTGACTATTTATAGGCTAACATCAGTGCATTCTCTGAGTTTTTCACAGCATGAGGGAGCTGTAGGAAAGGATTAATGCCTTCTAGAGTTCAGTCCAAAGACTTTCCACCCTGTGTACCTTCCTTGAAACCTCCCATAACACCCAAGGCCTATAGAACCCTGTTTCCATCTCTGCCTCAGCTCACCAGAGTGATGCAAAAAGGCCCGATCTGTAGTGGTTCATGTTCCTGGGGCCAGTAACGTTCACATTTTTTCTGCAAAGGGTAAGAAAAGAAGGGCAAGGAGTGAGGAAGGGGAGAAAACTTCAGAGTTTATCCCTACAACACAACCAGGTGCTGCTGGTGAAAGTACAGGAAACAGTGGCTGTCCAGAGGCCTGCCACATTGTATCTCTCTAAACACATGCAGCCTCTAGAGTCAACCATGTCCTACTGGAACACAGTCCAGAACATCCACTTGGAGCAGCAAAAAAGCTGGACAAAATGCATGAGCCACTATTTTCCACCACTGGCTGTCAAGCATTACAGGAATCAAGTTAATGACTACCTCAAAGGGTCACCAGGCTGCAGGACAGAAGCCCAGTGATCCCATTAAATTGAAAAGCCAGAGATCATGACTCAGGGAAGCCAATGCAGCTAGATTTTGTAGGGTGGAATGTTGGGGGAAGAGTAAACAAGATTAGAAAAAAAAATCCTAAAGAAACCTTCATGGGATTTGCAGACAAAGTGGATTTCAAACCAAGACTGATTAAGAAAGACAAAGAAGGTCACTACATCCTGGTAAAGGGGACAATCAAAGAAGAAGAGATAACAATCATAAATATATATGCATTAAATAGCAGTGCAATCAACTATATAAAACAAATATTAAAGGACATGAAAAATCATATAAGCACTAATACAATTGTAATGGGGGACCTCAATACCCCCTGTCACAAATAGATCAACTAGACAAAAAATCAACAATGAAATATTAGAACTGAACCAAACTTATGAACAAATAAATGGACTTAGTAGATGTCTACAGAGTAGTCCACCCCACAACATCAGAATGCACATTCTTCTCAGCTGCACATGGGATGGTCTCCAAAATACATCACATACTAGCCCATAGAACATGCTTAAGTAAATGCAAAGGAAATGAAATTATCCCATGTATATTATCAGACCATAGTGCAATGAAATTGGAAATCAATGGCAAAAAACCCACAAGAACTTCATAAACACATGGAAATTAAATAACACCCCCCCAAACAACCAGTGGGTCACAGATGAAATTAAAGAAGAAAACAGTTTCTATAATTAAACAATAATGACAATACATATCAGAACTTATGGGATACAATGAAAGCAGTCCTATGAGAAAAACGTATAGCAGTGAACAGCCATATCAGGAAAACAGAGCAGGCTCAAATAAACAACCTAATGCTGAACCTCCAGCTTCTAAAAAGAGAAGACCAAGTCAAGCCCAAAGCTTGTATGAGGGAGGAAATTATAGAAGTCAGAGCGGAAATTATAGAAGTCAGAGCAGAAATTAATGCAATGGAATCTAAAAGAAAATACAAAGAATCAATGAATCGAAAAGCTGATTCTTTGAAAGATTAAATAAAATTGAAAACCCTTAGCCAATCTTATCAAAAAAGGGGAAAAAAGACTCAAATGCATGCACTTAGGAATCAAAAAACAAATCACAACAGACCCTGCAGAAATTCAGAAGATCAACACCTACTTCAAGAACCTATATTCTAATAAGATGGAAAATATAGGAGAAATGGACAGATTCCTAGATACATATGAATTACCAAAACTGAATCAAGAAGATATAAAAATTCTAAATAAACAAATATCAGCCAATGAAATTGAAGATGTAATTAAAAACATACCAGAAAGAAAAGCCAGGTCCTGATGGATTCACTGCTGAATTCTACAAGAAATTTAGAGAAGACCTAATGCTAATACTTCTCAAACTCTTTAATGAAACTGAAAGGGAAGTAATACTTCCAAATTCATTCCTGAAAGCAAGCATTACCTTGATATCAAAACCAGAAAAGGATCCAACAAAAAAGAGAACTACAGGCCAATCTCTCTAATGAACATAGATGCAAAAATCCTCAGTAACAAACTGGCAAACAGAAGGAAGAAGATCATCAAGAAGATCATATACCCTGACCAAGTGGGATTCATCCCAGGGATGCAGGGGTGGTTCAACATATGCAAATCAATAAATGTAATACACTCTAGTAACAGAGCCAATGAAAATCATATGATCCTCTCAATAGATGTAGAAAAAGGTCTGACAAGGTCCAACACCCATTCATAATAAAAACCTTACAGAAAATTGATAAAACTATCTTTATCTCAATCTGATAAAGTCCATCTATGAAAAAACCAACAACCTACATCATACTAAATGGACAAAAACTGAAAGCTTTAACTCTAAAATCACCAAAAAGACAAGGATCTCTACCATCACGACTCTAGTTATGGAAACATTAGCCAGAGCAATTACATAAGAGAAAACAATAAAAGGAATAGGGATAGGAAAGGAAGAAGTTAAATTATTATTATTTGCAGATGACATGATACTCTGCATAGACGATCCCCAAAACTACCAAAAGACTTTTAGATTTGATAGACAAATTCAGCACCATAGTTGGATACAAAGTTAACATTCAAAAATCAATAGCATTCCTGTACATAACAAAGTCATGGAGAGATAAATTAGTGAAACAACACCTTTCTCAATAGCAAACAAAAGAATGAAATATCTAGGAGTTAATCTAATGAAGGAAGTAAAAGACCTCCACATTGAAGACTATAGTACTCTGAGAAAGGAGATTGACGAGGATATCAGAAAATGGAAAGCTATCTTCTGCTCTTGGGTAGGAAGAACCACTATAGTGAAAATGGCCATACTTCCAAAATTGTTATACAGGTTCAGAGCATTCCCAATCAAAATTCCAACAGCATATCTCACAGAAGTAGAAAAAACAATCTTAAAATTCACTTGGAACCAGAAAGAGGTCTAGAATAGCAAAGGCAATTCTGGGCAACAAAGGCAAGGCAGAGGGCATCACAATCTCTGACCTGAAATTATGCTACAAAGCTACTGTGATAAAAACAGCATGGTAATGGCAAAAGAACAGACCTGAGGATCAGTGGAACAGATTAGAAGATGCAGAAACAACTCCAGACATACTCAGCCATCTTATCTTTGACAAAGGAGCCAAACACCTTCATTGGAAGAAAGCCTCTTTAATAAATGGTTCTGAAAAACTGGCTTTCCATGTGCTAAAGATTGAAATTAGACCCATATTTTAAATGGAGTAACTTAAAATAGAAATGGATTGAAGATTTAAATGGTAAAATAGAAACACTAAATCTGCTGGAAGACAGTAGACACTTGAGGATATCAGAGTAGGCAAAGACTTCATGAACAAAACCCAGACTACATGGGAAATACTATAAAGAATCAACAACTTGGACCTTGTTTTATTAAAAGGCTTTTGCACATCAAGAGGAACTACACAAGAGTGATGTGACAACCCGCAGTGTGGGATTTTTTTTTTTTGCCAGCTCTTCCTCAGACAAAGGACTATTATCTAGAATAGATAGAACTCAATGAAAGAACTCAAAAAAAATCAGACCCCTCAAATTTAAAGACCCAGTCCAAAAATGGGCATCTGAAATGAATAAACACTTCTCAGATGACAAAGTTGAAACAGCAAATAAATATATGAGAAAATGTTTAATACCTCTGGTCATTTGAGAGATGTAAATTAAAACAATGCTGAGATTCCATCTCCAGAAATAATGGCTGTTATCATGAAATCAACCAATAACAAATGCTGGAAGGGCTGTGGGGTAAAAGGAACCCTTTTCCACTATTGGTGGGAATGTAGACTGGTGCAACCACTATGGAAATCAGTGTGCAGATTCCTCAACAAAACTAGAGGTTCCATTCAATACAGCTATTCCCCTTCTTGATGTCTTCCCAAAAGAATTAAAAGCATCATACCACAGCAATATATGCACATCCATGTGTATAGTGGCACAGTTTGTAATAGCTAAATCTTGAAAACAGCCCATCAACCAACAAATGGATAAAGAAGTGTGGGTTACTTTACAAATGCAGTACTACTCTGCCAGTAAAGAAGGACGAGCTTCAGACATTTATAGCTAAATGGCTGCACCCTGAGACCATACTCTTAAGTGAAATAAATTGGACACACATGTTCAAATACCATATTGTTTAAATGGTGTTAAGAAACCGAAAGTGGAAATAAGGACTAAAATGTATAACAGATATTGGGAAATGGGAAGAAAATGTTCAGATGGGAAGGGGAACAAGGGAGGAGTGAGGGAGAAAAGAAGGACTGGATTAAAAAAAAAGTGAAAATAGAACAGAAATGGAAACAAAGCTTTTGTACATAGGAGAGGGAAGCTCGAGGAGGGGGGAGTGGTAAAACAACAAAACAAAACAAGAAATCTTTATGGGGTCCAACCCCCATCTTTAATTGAATAATAATCTGAGTACATACATACATATAAGCCAGGAAAGAATAACTTCTCATGAAAGAATATAACTAAGAATCTCTGGGTAAACATTTCCTAGAATTCACAAGGGGACAGAAATAATTTATATTCCCTCTAGCTGGAGTGGGGAGGCCTCATTAATTCTAAGGCACATTTAATAGAGATCTCAGTAATCACACATTAGAAGCAGAATTAAATTAGTTCTAGAATAAGGACTTCAGTAGACCTGCCCTAAAAAAGCTTAAAAACAAACCCCAGAGGCTGGAGGCATACCTCAGTGGCATTACCACCAAGGGATAAACAAACACACACAGAAAAATTCCCAAGTGATCAAATATAAAAAAGAAACAAGTAAAACTTCTTTTTGGGGGTATCCTGCTGTGAATTAAACTCAGGGCTTCAAATGTGCCAGGCATTTACTCTATGAATGAGCTACATCCCCAGCCCTAGAACATTCTTTTAAGAAGACAGCAGAATCCAACACTTATCTGTGTGAAATTTAAAATATCAAGTATTCAATAAATATTTACTTCATATACAAAAAGTAGGAAAAAGTATAGCAATAGAAAGTATTCAAAATGAAAAAAAGAAGACTAGAAAAATAACAGAATCAATTTTGTGTGGAAATATACATATATGTATCTAGAAAAAGAGTACATAATGGAAACTGTATGTGTAGAAGTAGTAGTTGAAAAATTTCCCTAATTTAATGAAGCTATG